GGCCTGCCGCTCCCCCAGGCCTGGCCCCGGCTTCCCGAGCCCCCCACCAAGGCGGTGAAGCCGCTGCAGAGGACCCCCTTCCTGGCATCATCGTCCCGCCCCGGCAGCCGCCGCCTCGGCCCCCCCGGCCCCTCCTGGGATGAGGAGCTGCCCCCCTGGCAGGGTGCCCCGAGGGGTCCCGCCGGGGTCCCCCCTCCGCCCAGCCCCGCTCCCAGCACCCCCAAAAGTTTCATCCAGCGCATCGGGCAGCCCCTTGCCGGGATGGCCCCCCACTCCCCACCTCCGAGGCCGTCTGCTGAAGTGGGGGGCCGCAGCCTTTCCAAGGGGCGCTCCGTGGCGCAGTCCCTGGCTTCGCTTCTCGTAAAAAGCATAGCCTCTACCAAAGCCCCCTCATCCTCACCACCCACCCGCCATCCCTCCACTCGCTCGCCCTCCTTGCCCCGGCGCCCATCCCGGCTGGACGGGAGCACCCGCAGATCTCCGAGCCCACCCTCGGGGCGCCGGGGCTGGGCCGACGCCGGGCGCCCCATGCTCCCCTCCAACCCACGCGGCAACCGGAGCCCCTCACCGCCCCGTCGTGCCGCTTTCCCACCACCCCACGGGCGAGCCCCCGGCTCTCCGGCCATCCCCCGCCACGGCGCTCGCCCGCCGGGGCCGGCGGAGCCCATCGAGGGTGACGGGGAGGCCGGGGAGGAGGGCGCGGGGCGCTACGCGGTGGTGACGCCGCAGGTGCAGAGGTTGGGCTCCTTCCGGCGCGCATCCCGCATGTACAAGCAGCACTGGTCCAAGCAGCACGTCGTGCGGGTGCGGGAGATGCCCGACGCCTGGACAGCCGAGCAGGGTCTCCCCCAGCAGCCCACCCAGCGCGGCCGGCGGTGGGCGGGCCAGTGGGGAGCCGACATCGCCCGATATCTGTGCCAGCGCTCGCCGGCGGGCGGCTGGCGGGACAGGCACCCCTGGGCAGACGGGTACCTGGGCAGCAAGCAGCCCTGGCGCAGCAAGGTAACACCCGCGGGGAGCCCCCTCGGGGGGATGGAGCCGGGGGTGAGCTGGCAGCCGGCGGGACCCGGGACAGGGTGGCGAATTAAGGTGCCCGACGGCTCTCCCGGGCACGAAGGCATCCGTGCAGAGAGGGGTTTGCGGTGCTCAGGGTGGGGTAAATGGCTGCGGGTGGTCTGGGTGCTGGCGGGGGTCCTCCCGCGGGGAACAGACTGGAAAAGGGGATCATCACCGGTTGTGTGTCCCCCCACGAGCGGCCCCTCAGGGGACACTTGATTCTGGCGCATGGAAATGCAGAGACCCGATCCGGCGGGGACAGGCGCAGGTGGCACGGTGACCCTGCGGGGTGTCCGCTTTCCTGCCCACCGCCTGGCCAGGGGCCAGCGCAGGCTCCCGTGTGACACCTGGCCTGAGTCACCCCTGCGCGTGGCCGGGGGGAGCAGCCTCAGCCCCCTTCCATCACCTCCACTGAAGGTGATGCCATCCCCTCCCGGTGAGCGGGACCGGGATTCTCAGGACCAGGTTTTCCTGGGACCAGCCCCAAGGTGGCCTTGGTGCCCTCACGTTTCTGTGTTCCAGCGCTGCCGCTCTCACCTGACACACAATGCTCTTTGCCGGGGGACTGGTTTTGGGGCTATGAGGTGTTTTCTTGGGGTTCCTGCCATCACTGACTGCATGTCCCATGGTTTGGGGGTCACAGACGGTGTTTTGGGGTGGTGGTGGTGAGTGGGTGGGATGTCTGAGGGTGCTGGCACATCCCTGCCATGGTGGGGTGGTTGCTCCATGCAGATGCAGTCACTGTGCAGTCTGCCCATCATGCGGTACCAGGAGCCACAGGAGGAGGATGGGCTGGAGGACATGACCCAGCTGGAGTGAGTGTCCCTGTCACACCATGACTCAGTGCTGTGGGGGACAGTGGGGCTGCAGCTCCCAACCTCATACCTGACCCTGCTATCCCACCCCATCCCAACCCAACATGGGCTCTGCTTCAGCCTCCTGAGATGCTGAGGAGACTCTGGGGACAGCAGACACTCCCTTGTCCCTGTGTCACCCCCTAATTCAGCCTCTGCTTCATGCCAGGGACCTCCAGGAGGCTGCAGTGCTGAGCAACATCCGGACGCGGTTTGAGCGCCAGCTCATCTATGTAAGCTTAGGGGGACACAGCATCCCCCAAAGACTGTATGTGTGGGGTCTCTGGGGAGCCATCACCCCCTGAGAGCTCGCAGCCCCACCTCTCTCTCTGGCAGACCTACATCGGCAGCATCCTGGTGTCGGTGAACCCGTACCGGCTCTACAACATCTACGGGAAGGAGCAGGTGCAGCAGTACGAAGGCAGAGCCCTGGGGGAAAACCCGCCGTGAGTACCAGGCTGTCCCCAAATGCCCCGTGGGGATGGGGTCACTCCCACCCTCCATCCCCCACCCTTGGGTCCCGCAGCAGACCCTGGGGAACCTTCAGTCCCTGGGTGCTAGAGCAACTGTGTCTGTGCTCGGGGCACTTTGGGGGGTCCCTGTGCGGGGCCAGCGTGGCACAACACCCCCCTTGTGCTTCTCCCCACCCCAGGCACCTCTTTGCCATCGCGAACGTCGCCTACTCCAAAGTGATGGATGCCAAACACAACCAGTGTATCGTCATCAGGTGGGACATGGCTGTCCCCACACACAGCCCCCCTAATTAACACCACCCTAATTGCTGGATCGCTGCCACCAGCCTGTCTTGGCCCCAGGGATGGGGTGCTGGTAGAGGTTTGGGGTGGGCACCCCTTGCTTGAGTGGCGATGGCCCCAGCCATGCCCCCACTCTGTGTTTCAGTGGGGAGAGCGGCTCAGGGAAGACCGAAGCCACCAAGCTGATCCTGAGCTACCTGGCAGCTGTCAGCCAGAAACGCAGCACTGCCCCACAGGTGAGGACATCCCTGAGTCCCCATGTCCCCATCCTCTTCTCCCACCTCCCAGTGCTCTCTTCCTCACGGCTCTGCTGCTCTCTCCTTGTCCCAACGCTTCCACCTGGACCATGGCAGATAGAGGTACCAAGGGGACACGTGGGCTGGGATGGTTCAGGGGGACAGAGAATCGTGGTGGCATCTTGGCCATGGCACCCCAGCTGCAGGGGAAAGGCAGGAGGGACAGCAGGAAATCAGTGCATGCACAGGGATGGAGTCTTTGTGTTCTCTCACATCCTCATTTAACCTGGCTGTGGTGCACACCTCCAATTTGGGCACCCACGAGTGTCTGCATGGAGCATGGGGTGGCAGGGGGGGTGGCAGGGTGACGAAGGGGCTGCCCTAGCCTTGGAGATGTCCCGTGGTGTGTCGGGTGCCCAGGCTGACCCCCCCAGCTCTCCCCATCACCACAACAGATCCTGGAGGCGACCCCTTTGCTGGAATCCTTCGGCAACGCCAAAACCGTGAGGAATGACAATTCCAGCAGGTTTGGGAAATTTGTGGAAATCTTTCTGGAGGAGTAAGTAATGCTGAGTAACATCTGTGTGTGGCTGCTCCCACCCTATGTCCCCTGCTGCCCCGGGAGTGTCCAGCCCAACCCAGCCCCTTGTCCCTTGGCTCTGGGAGGACACATGGGACAAACCTGGTGTTGGAAAGGTGATGGCACCCGAGGACAGGTGGCTGTCCCTGGGGTAGGGATGCCGTGACTTGGCTGGCACCTTGACCATTCCCAGCTCCCACCCCTGTCCTCATATCCCACCCCATCCTCTCTCAGCCCCACTGATCCTGACAGGGTGTATCACCCCGGGGTGCAGCGCTCCAGCCAGGTGCAGACTACTCTCCCTGCCCACCTGTCCCTGGTGGGGCATCTGGGGAGCAGCACTGAGCTCCCATTTTGTTGGGGGACATTGGGGCATGGGTGGAAGCGTTGGGGGGCACAGCCCCTGCCCACACCAAGGTTTCCAGCCGGGTGCCCACTCTCACCCCTGCAGCGGTTTGATCTGCGGTGCCATAACCTCGCAGTACCTGCTGGAGAAGTCCCGCGTGGTCTTCCAGGTGTGTGCTGAGGGGGTCCTGGGCTCTGCCCCTCACTCTGCCCCCTCTGCCACTCCCTCCCCAGCTCTGTCCTCTGCTCTCCAGGCTAAGAGTGAACGCAATTACCACATCTTCTATGAGATGCTGGCAGGGCTGCCGTCTCAGCAGCGGCAGCGGTACTGCCTGCAGGGCGCTGAGACCTACTACTACCTGAACCAGGTAGTGTGTCCCCTCCCCAGCCCGCCCACAGCCCGATTTCTGGGGTGCTCAGAACCTCAGGGTGCTGGTGGGTTTCTGAGCCTTCAGTGTGTGGGTGAGGAGGATGCTCAGGGCAGGGTGAGCCCCCATGCTGGGTGCTGACGCCCCGCCCCGAGACCCACTGATGGACTGAGAGGGTTGTGCCAGGGTGGGAACTGTGAGATTCCTGGCAAGGATGATGCTGAGGATTTCCGCCGGCTGCTCAACACCATGGAGGTGCTGAACTTCAGCGTGGAGGAGCAGAACAGCATCTTCCGCATCCTCTCCTCCGTCCTCCACCTGGGCAACGTCTACTTTGAGAAATACGAGGTGAGCTCCACGGGGAGCCGAGCTGTGCTCCTTGGGCACAATTTGGGATGTGGCAAATGGGGGATCACCCCATCCCACGGCATCTCTGTGTCCTGCAGACCGACTGCCAGGAGGTCGCCACGGTGGTGAGTGCCACGGAGATCCGGACGGTGGCTGAGCTGCTGCAGGTGTCCCCTGAGGGCCTGCAGAAAGCCATCACCTTCAAGGTGACGGTGAGTGCAGGGGGCACAGGCTGGGAGGGGGTCTCTGGTCCCTGGGGACCGTGGCTGATATTGCTGAAACTCCATCATGCCATTTGCCAACCAGGAAACGCAGCGGGAGAAGATTTTTACACCTCTGACTGTTGAAAGTGCTGTGGATGCCAGGTAGAGGGAAGGGGGCTGCACTGCAGGAGGGTGTGGAGGGGTCAGGGATGGCAGGGGAAGTGAAATTCCAGCTGGGAAAGGGGATGATCAGGTCCCCCAGTGTGGATTAGACTCTGTGGTGATTAAAACTGATGCTGTGGTGGCTGCAGGCTGTGGCAGTGGAGTACTCTGATGCCATTCCAGAGCTCCAGCACTCTGCTCATCTCTCCCCTTCCCAGGGATGCCATTGCCAAGACCCTCTACTCCCTGCTCTTCGGCTGGCTCACAGACCGCATCAACAAGCTGGTGTACCCACGGCAGGAGGCCCTCTCCATCGCCATCCTGGACATCTACGGCTTTGAGGTGAGCAGGATTCATCCCACCTCTGTCCTGGCTCAATCCCAGCTCCATCCTCCCAGGCTCCATGAATCTTCCTTCTCGCAGGACCTCAACTTCAACAGCTTTGAGCAGCTGTGCATCAACTATGCCAACGAGTATCTGCAGTTCTTCTTCAACAGGATTGTGTTCCAGGAGGAGCAGGTGGGGCTGGTGGGCAGTGCTGGGCTCTGCCCTGGTGCTGGGCTGGGGACACAGGGCTGACCTGGTGCCCACCCTGCAGGAGGAGTATCTCCGGGAGCAGATCGAGTGGAAGGAGATCCCCTTCAGCGACAACCAGCCCTGCATTGACCTCATCTCCCAAAAACCCTACGGCATCCTCCGGATCCTGGATGACCAGAGCTGCTTCCCCCAGGTGAGGGGCTGCCTGCTGATGAGGTGCAGCCAGCACTGGGAGGTCACTGTGGCTGGGGAACCAGCAAGGCCCAGGGCCGCTCTTCTCCTGGGCTGTCCTGGACTAGCTGGGAACAGGTTCCTCCAGGCTGGATAAGCCCAAATCATGGAATCACAGAATGGTTTGGGTTGGAAAGGACCTTGGATATCACCTTGTTGCAACGTGCTGCTGAACGTCCTGAGCCGTGTGTCATTCCTGTGTCCCTTCCCAGGCCACTGACCACACGTTCCTCCAGAAGTGTCACTACCACCACGGGACAAACCCGCTGTACACCAAGCCGAAAATGCCACTGCCCGAGTTCACCATCAAGCACTATGCAGGGAAGGTGACCTACCAGGTGTGTGGCATTGGGATGTCCAGCAGGGAGGGTTAAAGAGGAGGTTGGTCCTGTGCCAAGGAGAGAAATGCATCTCTGGGGGTCTTACTGGGGTCCTGGAGCTCCTTGCCTCACCCTGTCACCCTGCCAGGCTCCTCACATGAGGTTTTGCTATTTGCCAGGTTCACAAGTTTTTGGATAAAAACTACGACCAGGTCCGTCAGGATGTGCTGGACCTGTTCATCAGCAGCAGGACCAAGGTAGGGCCCTGCTTGGTGCTGGCTCTGCAGTGACACTGGGCATCAATGGTGCCCTTCCAGACATCCCTTTCCATGTCCCCAAGTGTATCCCCACAGCTGGTGAAGCCCAGGGGGACCAGAAGCAGAGGATGACTCTGGCTTCACCCATGGGATCCTCTGGGCTTTGACCCCTCAAGCACTTGGCACAAACAGGGACATGGGCTGCTGCTGTGATTTGTATTATCCATTTCCTCATCCCCATCCCTATCCAGCCACAATTAGGGGATGCATCTTGCCCAGGGCTGGACAAAAAAGGACTGGCCAGGCCGTGAAGAGGGTGTGGGAGAGCTGCATCATCCCGGCCACCTTCCTCTCTAACCTTTCCTGTCTCCCCAAGGTGGTGGCCAACCTCTTCTTCGGCCATGCCCAGGTGTTGGCCCGGCAGAGGAGCCTCATCAGGAGGAGCAGCACCAGGACAAGGCGGTACAAGGCTCCAACCGTGGCTGCACGGTTCCAGCAGTCCCTCCTGGAGCTGGTGGAGAGGATGGAGAGGTCAGGGTGGGCAGGGTGGGCAGCCAGGCCGTCCACCGGGCTGTTGGCAACTGGACCTGAGCCTGAGGTGGCTGGGCTGGCTTTGTCCCCCGTTCCCTGTGGCTGACAGGGTCACTCTGTCACAGGTGCAACCCCTTCTTTGTGCGCTGCATCAAACCCAACAACAAGAAGGTGAGAGCCGGGGCTCTGCTGTGCTGGTGCCTGTGCTTCCTGCCCCGCTGGCACTGGGAGTGTCGTGGGCACACGGTAGCTGGGGGTTTGCCCCTGCAGTTGCTGATGCTTCTCCCCATCCCCACCCCAGGAACCAGGGCTGTTTGAGGCCGACGTGGTCAGGGCCCAGCTGCGGTACTCGGGGATCCTGGAGACCATCCGCATCCGCAAGGAAGGCTTCCCTATCCGCATCCCCTTCCTCGTCTTCATCGACAGGTGCCTGAGGGCTGCAGGTTGGGCACTGCCATTCCAGCGAGGAGAGACCACAGAGTTTGTGGTGTTCTGGGGGGCAGGATCTGAGTTAGGGTTCCCCCACAATGGGAGCTGGGAACCCCTCATGCCAACACACAGCTCTGGGAGAAGCTGCATCTCCAGGTGCAGTGTCTGTCACCACAGGGAGGGTCTGTGCTGGTGTCCCAGCGGGGCCCTGTGTGGTGACAGTATCATGGGCTCACCCAGGTATCGCTGCCTCGTTGATATGTGGTCCAATGTCATTCCCAATGGAGCCAACTGTGTGGAGATGCTGAGGAGCCTCTGCCCCGTTAACCCCAGCATGTACTACGTCGGTGTCACCAAGGTACTGTCCCGGGAGGGGGCTTGGTTCTGGTGATGCCCTGGGTGTGGTGGCCAAGGCGGGGAGCTCATGGCCTCACCGCTGCTCCCAGCTCTTCCTGAAGGAGCAGCTGTACCAGGCACTGGAGAGCAAGCGAGCCCGTGCCCATCACCTGGCCGCGCTCACGCTCCAGCGCTACGCTCGCACCTTCTTCATCAAGCGCCGCTTCCGCTCCCTCCGCCGCAAGATCGTCCTCCTGCAGAGCCGGGCAAGGGGATACCTGGCCAGGTGAGTGTCCCTGGGCGTGGCGGGTGGGCACTGCTGGGTGGCAGAGGTGACGGGTGCCCTCCTGCAGGCAGCGGTACCGGCGCATGCGGCGCACGCTCATCAAGTTCAGGTCACTGGTGCACATCTACGTGAACCGCCGGAGGTACCTCAAGGTGAGGTGGGGCCTGTCACATCCCAGGGGGCCCAGGGGACCTGCTGCCACCCTGCTGCATGTTCACTGGTGGCTCTGGAGAGGACACAGTGGCATCCCCAGACCGTGAACCCCCCCACGTGCCACCTCCTCCGTGTCGCATTGGGTATGGGCAATGCCTTTTCGGGGTGACAACCCTGCTGATGTTGGGGAGGGGTTAATGGCAACCCAGGGTGCTGTAATGCCCCAGAGCCTCCCTTCCCCCGGTGGGACTCAGCACAGCTGCTCTGCTTGCAGAGGAAGGAGGATGCTCGCCGGCGGGCCGAGGAGGAGAAGGAGAGGATGAAGCAGGTAAAGATGTGTGGTGGGAGCACACGTGTTGCTGTGCCCTCATCCCTGCCCATCCCCGTGCTCCTGGTACCCGGGGCGCTGGGGCAGGGACCAAAGCGTGCACATCCCTGTGCTGCTGGCAGGAGCTGACGCGGAGGGAGGTGGTGGATGTCACCCACCTGGAGATCCCGGCCGAGCTGATGGGGCTGCTGGAGGCCGCTGCAGGTGAGCGGATCCCGCACCCCCATCGTTCCCAGCCCCTCGTTCCCCCCGCCACGGCCGTGCCGTAGCTTCCCGCTGTGCCGCAGCCGCTCGGGAGGTGAATGCCGGCTGCGTGGTGCTGGTGCCGCCGCCGGCGCTGCAGCCCGACCCCCAGCTCACCCTCCCGCTCGACATCAATGACTACCCCATGGCCAAGTACGTGCGGGGCCACTTCCAGGTAAGGTGGGCGCCGCGGCCCGGCGGAGGGGAGCTTTTCCCGACGGGCAGACAGCTTTTGGGGAGTCCCTGGCACCCCGGTCACGGTGCAGCAGTGAGGTTCAGGGTCCCCGTGGTGGCTCCCCGCACTCTCCCACCGGGCTCTGCCGCGGCTTCCACCCTGGGGACACCACGGGTAGCAAGAGAGGCTGGATCCGGGGTGGCTGTGGTGCTGTGGGGAGCTGGCTGCCACCTCCCTCCCTCCCCGTGGGTTCCTGTCGTCTCCAGAGGCCGGGGGGACCCTGCTGAGGTTATCGGAGAGAGACCCGCTGAGCCCTCCTGGACGCCCGACGCGGGGCGGATCCGGAACGCTGGGGCGGGAGACCAGGTCGCTTTGCTCCCGGGACCCCGGCCCCACCCACGGTCACTTTGCCCCATTCCTCTTCCTCATCCCTGTTTTTGCCTTGTGTTTCCCAGTCCCCAGCATCCTGAATGACAGCACCGGGCCTGGATGAGGCTCTCAGCCTTGCCAAGGTGTTGGCAAAGAACCACAGAATGGTTCGGGTTGGGAGGGACTTAAAGTCCATCCAGTTCCACCCCCTCCGATGGGCACGGACACCTTCCGCTAGACCAGGTTGTCCCAAGCCCCATCCAACCTGGCCTTGAACGTTTCCAAGGATGGGGCAGCCCCAGCTTTTCTGGGCAATGCGTGCCAAGGCCTCACCACCCATCTCCGGTGCTGCTGGCACAGCCTGAGCCCCTCCCTGCCCCACTCCCAGGAGGCTGCTGGCCCCATCCTTCACCCCAGCCCTTTGGCAGCCCCACAGCTTCCACCCAGCATCAACACCACGCTCAGCACCATGGGCCAGCCCCTCGTGGCCAGAGGCTGTCCCCAGGTAGCCATGGGTGCGGGTGTCACCGCAGGAACCGGCATTTGGGATGCTGACGGCCCCACTGAAAGCCCCCCTCACCCGGCTGGATGAGGAGCTGTGCCACGAGGCTCTCAGCCTCTTCCAGCTGGTAGGTGGGATAGCCCAGGATCCATCACCAGTCCCCTGCCTGCTCTGTGCCCGGGGTCAGAGGGAGGACCTGGCTGTCCCTGTGGCAGATCCTGCGGTTCATGGGGGACCCGGGGCTGGGCGGCCCTCAGGAGACCCTCTTTGGCAACTACATCGTGCAGAAGGGGCTGTCGGTGCCGGGGCTGCGGGATGAGCTCCTGGCACAAGCTGCCAACCAGGTCTGGAGGAACACCAACGTCAACAATGAGGAGCGGGGCTGGCTGCTGCTGGCCACCTGCCTCAGCGCCTTCCCCCCGTCCGCTGCCTTCGACAAGTACCTGCTCAAGTGAGCTGGGGATGGGCTCTGGGATGGGGAATGGTGACAGCTGGGACCCTCAGGAATACACTGGTGCTCGTGCACTGCTGGGGCTTTTCAGGGCTCTCCTGGCACCTATGGCTGAGGAGGCTGCCTAGACCCCAACAGGCACGCATGGCCAGGTCCTGTTGGGAATGCTCTGAGGTCCCTTCAGGATCCCTCTGGCCAAGCTGGCATATGGGCCCATGTCCCTCTAGGTTCCCCAGGGCCAGCCTGGCACATGTGCCCAATGATACTGGCCAAATCCCACTAGAGATGCTCTGAGATCTCTCCAAGATGCCTTGAGCCAGCCTGACACACATACCCGGGATTCTGCCAAGATCCCTCCAGGGATGCTCTTAATCCCTCTGTGGCCCCCTGTCCCAACCTGGCACACATGATCCTGCCCACGCTCCCCTGCAGCATCCTCCCTTCCCCACAGGTTTGTGTCTGACTACGCCTTCGCTGGCTACAAGCCGGTGTGCCAGCGCAAGCTGATGCACGCCATGGCCCGCTCCCAGCTGGGCGCCGCGGCCGCCCGCACCTTCCCCCCCTCGCTGCTGGAGTGGACGGCGAACCGGCGGCAGGCCAGCATGGCCCTCGACCTGCACTGCTTCAACGGTGCGGGCAGCGCGGCGCTGGCGAGGGTCGGTCCCACCGTGACCGCCCTCGCAGGCAGGGGGGGACTGGTGGCACCCGCTGACCACCCGTCCCTCCCCAGGTGACCAATTCTCCTGCCCCATCCACTCCTGGAGCACAGGCGAGGACCTGGCAGGGGATGTCCTGAAGCACAGGTAGGTGCTGGCTTAGCACCCACCCACCCAGCGGGTCACGATGTCACCTGGGGATGTCTTTGGTGTCCCCAGGATGTGGGAGCCCGAGGGCCCAGCTCATGGGCAGGGTGTCCCTGTGGAGCCTGTGCCCGTCCCCAGTGTCTGGCTGTTGGCAGAGGGCTGGCGGAGGGCTGGCGTGGCTGGTCCGTGGCGATGAAGGCGGGTGCCCAGTGGGCTGAGCTGGCTGGACACGACTATGTCCTGGACCTTGTCTCCGACCTCGAGCTGCTGCGGGGCTTCCCCAGGCAGAAATCCTGCTTCCTCATCGCATGGGATGGGAGCGAGAGCCACAGCAGGGACAGCCGGCCGTAGGTACCCGGGCAGGGATGGGTGCCCCACTGTGGGGCTGGATGGGTGCTGGTAGGGGTGGGTGGGTTCCTGAGGGGAAACCTGGCATCCAGTGGGTGCTCGATGAGAGCATCCTCCCTCTCCGCAGGGTGCTGGGACACGGATTTGATTTGGATGAAGTGCCTCCTCCCCCAGCTGTGAAAGCCCCCACACTGCCCTCCATAGAGACGTATCACCCCCATGGTAGGGCATCGTTCCCCCCCAGCTCCTGCCCCCCAGTGTTGTGACAAAGCCCTGCCATGCCAGTGGTTCATGCCTTGTCCCCTGACAGATGGGGAATTGGGGGAGCCACGCAGCCAGAAGGGTCTGGACCGGTACCTGGACAGTCTCTTTGACCCCGTGCTCTCCTACGGCAATGGGGTGAGAAGGGTGTCCCCCTGCCTGAGGCATTTGGGGCGCAGGTGGCTTGGCCACTGTGCCCTGACACCTGTCCCCCAGGAGCTGGAGAAGCCATCCATCCTCTCGCAGAGGCTGAAGGGAGGAGGTGGCGTGGGAGGGGGGAACAGTGGCACTGATGCCAACCGGAGCGAACCTCCCGTAGCTGCAGAGATGCGTCAGCCGAGGGGTGAGCGCCTCGAGCACCCCACATCCCCACCCAGCTCCCTGCCTCAGTTTCCCTGTCTGATCCCTGCACCCAGCGCCCCACAGCTCTGACTGAGCTCTCCTCTTTGCTGTCACAGGCACAGAGCCAGACCCATCCCCACAGTGCTGGGCAGATGTCAGCCAGCCACCCAGACCCTCGGTCAGTGCCATGGGGCCAGGAGGGGTCGAGCCCCTTCTCTGCTTCAGGGCACCTCTTTGGGGCAGCCCCTGAGGCTGGGAGCACTGGAGGTGCCAGGTGTTGATAGCATCGTGTCCCTTGCAGGGCAGAGCGGCAGAGGGGACGCCAGCCCATGTCCCCCACCCCCGGCCATACTCACAGAAGGCCGGTAAGGGGTCCCGGTGCAATGGGGTGGCCACAGGGGCTCGTGGCACTGAGCCAGGGCCCCTGAGCCGTGTGCTTGGCTCTGCAGCAGCCGTGGGCCAGCGGTGGTCGGGAGAGCCAGTGCAGCATTCCCGGCTCAACTCGGAGCACTTCCCGCGGCCCACGCACGACATCCGCAACATCATCCGGCAGTGCCAGCCAGCCCCACGCAGCTCCCAGCCCCACAGGTACACAGCTGGGCCCCCAGCCAAGCCTCGCACTTCTCCTGCCTGGGGGTGCACGTGCTGGCCCTGACACCGGGGTGTAGGGAATGATGGGGTGTAGGGAGTGATGGGGTGTAGGGAGTGATGGGGTGTAGGGAATGATGGGTGCACTGAGTGATGGGGCTGCAGGTGGTGTCAGGTACAGGGAATGCCGGGGTTCAGCTGATGCTGGGGTTCAGGTGATGTGGGATGCTGTCTCGGCAGCAAGCTCTTTGGGAAGAAGCTGGACCCCCACGAGGAAGCCCTGCAGATCCTGAAGGAGCAGCTCTCAGCAGCCCGGGTGCCATCAGCTGTGGTAGGGATGTGGCTGTCCCCGTGTCCCCCTGACCAGGCTGGGGGTGTCACTGGCACTGACCACAGCCCCTCTGTGCCCCACAGGGGCCCAAGGAGGTGGTGGCTGCGGTGAAGCCGGTGCCAAGTGCCAGGTACCAGCTGCGAGCACCCACAGGGCGTCCTGCAGCCACAAGACCCCCAGGTATTGCTGGGCAGAGCTGTGGCCCTGGTGGGACCACGGTGGAGTGAGGCACTTTGCCCTCCCAGTGGCACAGCTGCTTCCCGTGCCTCAGTTTCCCCAGGTGGAGGCAGCTGTTGGTGGTTCCCCCTGGGGATTGCAAAGCTTTCTGTCCCTTTGCAGTTTTTGTCTCACGGGAGCTCCCGTCCGAGGCGCAGCAGGTCCAGACCCAGCTGCACCGCAGCTGCAGCGAGGACTTCTACACCTACCACAACGTGCCCTGGAAAATATTCATCCGGAAGGAGGTACAGATTATGGGGACACTTGGTGACAGGTTGGTGCCAAGGTCCTACTGGAATAAGGGGGTTTACACCCAGCCCTGGTCTCTCTCCTGGCAGGTTTTCTACCCCAAGGACAGCATCAATAACCCACTGCTGCTCGACCTCATCTTCCGGCAGGTGAGGCACCGAGCTGGCCCCGCAGCCCCCCGGGATCCCCTGGGACATGGGGTGTTCCCCAGTGGGGTGATGATTTACTCATCCCACTGTGGCCATCTGCCTTCCCCTGCTGAGCTGCCGTGGAGGAGCTGAGGCTGTTGCAAGCTGGGGTTGCAGGGATTTTTGCTCCTCACCCCCTTTCCCAGATCTTCAATGATGTGCTGTCTGACACCTGCATCCGGATCAGCCAGGAGGAGCGGCTCCGCCTCAAATCCCTCTTTGGTAACCCTGTGTCCCTCCTGGGGGCTCACACCCAGCCACTCTTGTGCCTCTCCTCATCTCCCGGCTATCTCCAAGCCATGACTGGCTCTGCTTAACTCTGGATAGTTTTGCCTCCAAAAGTAATGACCCCTCTGTAATTTAGTGCTCCACAACATCACAAGTGTCAGGTCTCAGCCAGCTGCTTGGGGGACACACATCTGTCTCTGCAACAGTCCTGCCAGGCATGGGCAGGGCATGAGCATCCCTGCTTTTGCTGGGAACTCTGTGCACATCCTCTCCAGGAATGGGCTGCTCACAGAAGGCGTTTCCCCCTCCCCACAGCGGAAAACAAGCTGGACTCCTTCAGCCCCGTGGCCACCGAGGATGTCAAGAGGGAGATCATTGCTGCAGCCCGGGATGGCTGTGAGGTGTACTTCTCCCGCCTCTTCCCTGCCACGGTGAGGCTCCAGCCGTGGGGCAGCTCAGCACGGGGGGCACTGTGTCACCGTGCCCCTGGCTGAGCCGCTGTCCTGGCCCCACAGGGCAGCGTGGGGACGGGTGTGCAGATCCTGGCCGTGTCCCACACTGGCATCAAGCTGCTGCGGGTGGTCAAGGGCACCAACGTCCCCGGGGAGCAGCTGCGGGTGCTGCGGGCCTACAGGTAGGGGTGGCCAGGGTGGGGTGGGTACCGTGGGTGCCACAGGTTCCGGATGCTTCAGCCTCTCCTCGCCCTGTCCCAGCTACCCCGACGTGCTCTTCGTGACCACTCCATCCAGGAACATGCTGGAGTTCAACCTGCGCAGCGAGAAGCTCATCCTCTTCTCCCCCAAAGCCCCCCAGGTCAAGGTCATGGTTGACCACTTCATCACAGAGCTCAGGAAGGTGGGGGGGTGCCCTGGGGCCAGGGTGGGTTTGTCCTGGGGGTCAGACCCTGCCCGTGTGCCTGCCTTTGGGGGGCTGGGGTGGGCAGGGGACTGTGGCTGGATTTGGGAGAATGGTTCTGAGGCTGTGGGTGCTTGAAGTCCCTGTGCTGGGTGGGGTGTGGGTGTCCCTACGTGCATGGGCTGTGCCAGACCCCCTGTGCCCAGGATTCCCAGTATGTGGTGGCTGTGAGGAACTACAGCCCGGAGGACAGGGGTCAGCTCAGCTTCCACAAAGGGGACATCATCCACCTGCACTCACTGGAGCACCCTGAGAGAGGTGAGGGACCCCCCAAAGCCCCCCATGCCAAAATACCTTTGATGGGAGACACAGGGGCAGTAGATTGATGGCTTGCCCTGCCGAGGAGGTGGCTGTGCTCTTGCTTTGCATCCTGTGACAGCCTGTGGTGTCCCCATGGTGTCCCTGCAGACTACTACTATGGCTGCGTGGTCCGCAAGAAGGTGATGTACCTGGAGGAGCTGAAGACAGGCACCCAGGATTTTGGTGGGTGCCACATTGTCCCTGTGTGTGTCCCTGGTGTGCCCTGAGCTGCGTCCCTTCCTGGGTCTGGGGCACAGTACGGGGTCATGCCTCTGTCACCACTTGGCAGGATGATTTGGGGTCTTTTTGGGACCGATCTGATACAGGGAGATGCTCCCCTGCAGGTCCCACCCTGGTACCACCCACGTCCCTCAGGTGACAGGCTTTGTGGCCCTTGGTCTATACCTTTCCTTGAGTGATGCCAAACTGCAGCTGCTTCCAGCCAAAACCCACGTCCAGATCCCTGAGAAGGGCTGGGGGTGCAGAGGCAGGAGGGAGCAGGCAGAGAATTTTAGGGGTGACCCCACGGCTGCCAGCCTGGGGCCATCCCCACCATCTGTCCGGCACAGGGTGGAAGTTTGGGGCCATCCATGGCAGGTCAGGGCTCTTCCCTGCCGAGTACGTCCAGCCCGTCGCGGCACCCGACTTCGTCCATTTGCCTGCGGAGAGGAAAGAGGAGCCCAGGGACAAGCAGGGCAAGGTGGCGGCTTCAGCGGCTGTGGCTGTGGCCGTGGCCTCCACTGCTGCTGCCCAGGAACTGGACAGGAAAACCGAGGTGGGTCCTGGCCTGGGGCTGTCCCCCGGAGCTGGCTGTGCCCGGTGCCCACTGCCCCGCTCCGCAGGTGTCCCCAGCCGGTGCCACCTTTGCGGAGGGTCCGGAGGGAGACGGTGTCGAGCAGCTCAGGGATGTCACCGGGGCCTGTCCCATGCTGGCCTTTGCCCAGCGGCATTTCCGTGCGGCACGACGTGGGACCACGTGAGTGTCCAGCGGTGGGACAGGGATGTGCCATGGTGGAGACACCTGTGCCCACCTGCTCCCTTGTCCCTCCACCAGGGATACCCGTGGGATGAAGATGCCAAGCGTGCTAGAGATGCTGACGTTCACCAAGGTATGGGCAAGTGGAGTCCTGGGGTGTCCTGCTGTCACCTGCAGCTCCCTTTGAGGTCCCAGCAGGGTGACAGAGCTGGCTCTCTCCCCACTGCTCCAGATTCCTATTCAGGAGTCACTCATTGAATTTGTGGATGGTGGCCTCAACAAACTGGCTGCTGAGGCTTTCCAAGGTAGGCAGGGGCAGGAGTGTCCTGCCCCCTGTCCCTCAGCCACCCCCAGCCCTGTCCTTGGAGGGGGGTGGGGCTGGGCTGGGCAGAGGGGGTGTCCTAGGGGAGTTCTGGTCCCACTGCTCCATGTGCCCACCCAGGGGAGCATGTGCCTGGGGAAGGGACACGCTGAGCTGTGTCACCGTGTGGCTTTGTTGTCCCCAGCCGTGATGAAGTTCATGGGTGACCACCCCCTGCGGGGGCAGACAGAGCTGGATGCTGTCTGCACCATCCTCAAGGTAAATCCATCACGGGCGGTGAGTCCTGGGGGTGGCCTGGCCAGGGGGTGACAGGTGCCTGTCCCCCCCAGCTGTGTGCGGAGCACGAGGTGCTGCGGGATGAGGTGTACTGCCAGATCATCAAACAGATCACCAACAACACCAGCTCCAAGCCGTGAGTCCCTACACCCACATGGGACAGCAGAGGCTGGCACTGGGACACTCCCGTCCCTGGCCAGGCCGAGCTGCTCCAGCCTGGGGGAGACCCAGGGACCTCATCCTTGCAGAGGGATGGGTGCCACCACGGGCACCCTCGCCCTGCTTAGGGGATCAGCCCTGGCTGTTCCCACAGGGACAGCTGCCAGAGGGGCTGGAGGCTGCTTTACATCCTCGCTGCCTACTACAAGTGCTCTGAGGTGCTCCGGCCCTTCCTTCTGGCCTTCCTGCAGGATGCCAGCAGGCACCCGGAGCTGCCTTTCCACGGTAGGGGCCGTGCACACCCCAGGGTGCTGGGAAGGGACACCAGGGTGTCACAGAGCTCAGGAGGAGCTCTGACAGAGACAGAGTGGCAGCTCAGCCCCATCCTTCATCCCAGTCCCTGTTCCTGCCAGGCATCGCCAAAGCCTGCGAGCAGAACCTGAGGAAAACCCAGCAGTTCGGTGGCCGCAGCCTCTTCCCCAGCAGCATGGAGCTCAAGGCCATGGTGGTGAGGCCAGGGGCTCGTGTGTGCCCATGGGGTGGAACAGGGCTGGTGTCAGCTTGAGGTCCCCCCAGAAGTTCTGGGTACCCACATGGGGTCCAGGTTCCCTCTGTGGCCTTGGGATCTCCCTCAGATGCCACCCTGGAACTGAGCTGATCCTTTTTGGGGATCTTCCCAAGAGAGCACAGCCCTTCTTAGGGTCTGCTCTTCACCACTTTGGGGGGTCCCCAGTGGAACCATGTGGACATGTAGCGGGGGCATGATGGTTCACCTGGACAGGATGGGCAAGAGACAGGATGATCCCAGTGGGAGGGTTCTTTAGGGACAGCTGCAGGATTTGGGGTGTCCTGTGGGTTTTCTGCTGTGTGAAGGGCCCCCCTGCACCCCACTGTGTCCTCCCGTGCAGGCCGGACGCAGCGCCAAGCGCCAGCTCTTCCTCCTGCCCGGTGGCATCGAGAGGCACCTCAAGATCAAGACGTGCTCGGTGAGCCAGAGGGGACAGGAGGCTCAGTGCACCCCAAGGTTATGGTGACACCCCAGAGGGTGTGGATGTGGGAGGGGCTGCACCCTTTGGCTGTATCTGCTGTGGGAGAAGCAGATCCTCACTGGGATGAGCCTCAGTGCAGGACAGAGTAGTTGGTGGCCCAGAGCACAACAGGGGGACGTGGCAGTGTCCCAGCCACCTGTCCCTGTGCCCAGGTGGCTCTGGATGTCATCGAGGAGCTGTGCTGTGAGATGGGGCTGCAGAATCCAGAGGCTTTGGAGGAATACATCCTCTTCGTGGTGACCGACAGAGGTGAGGAGCTGGCAGGGATGGGACAGACAGGACAGGACAAGACAGGATGGGACAGCCATGCGGGTGGTGTGGTGGCCATACTCAGACTCCTGGGTGGCACAGGGCAGAGCGTGCGGCCACTGACCCGCCGGGAATACGTCCTGGACGTGGCTGCCGAGACGGAGCTCCGGGACACCAGCTACACCTTCTGGTGCCGCCGTGTGGTTTGGAGCCAGCCCCTCAAGTTCGACAACGAGCTCTTCGTCACTGTCCACTACAACCAGGTCGGGCCACCCCATCAGCCTCCCCCGGGGCCACCTCCCTGTCTCCCTCAGAGCGTGCCCCGTCCCCAAGCCGTGTCCCTGTGCTCTGTCCCCCCCCTCCAGGTGCTCCCTGACTACCTCAAGGGGCTGTTCACCGTCCTGCCGCCGGCGAGGCCGGGAGAGCAGCACTTCCCGCACGTGGCCAAGCTGGCCGCCCTCCAGCACCGAGCCAAGGACCGCCACCACCTCCCCACCGCGTACGGCAGGGGACAGGGCACCTGCAGGGGGGGAAACACGTGTCCCACAGGATTTGGGACCTGCTGGCCAGCGCTGGCCCTGACCTCGGGCTCCCCACAGGCGGGAGATGCAGGACTACGTCCCTCCGCAGCTCTTCCGCCTGCTGAAGCCGCAGTCCTGGCTGCAGATGGTGACCCAGCACGTGCAGCAAGCCCAGGCACTCAGCGCCCACCAGGCCAGGGCACAGTTCCTGGGTGAGGGGACAGCACACAGGGAGAGGATGCAATGCTAATGAGGACAGAGTGCTAATGAGGTTGTAATGCTGCTGGAGATGCAGTCCTGCTGGGGATGCGATGCTGCCTGGAGGGTGATGATGATGATGATGGGGATGGGATGCTGCTAGGACAGGCAGCCCCTGTCCCTGCAGAGCCTGGATTGGCCATGGAGGGCAGGATGGATTGGCAGGACAGGACAGGCTGCTTCCAGGCCCTGCTCAGGACACCCATTTCCCGTGGCTGCTCCTGGGTGCAGGCCACCCTAGGGACTGGGCACACAGGGGTGGCAGTGGGCACTGAGACCCCACTCTGCCCTGCAGGGCTGCTGAGCGCCTACCCCATGTTCGGCTCGTCCTTCTTCTACATCCAGAGCTGCAGTAACAACGCCATCGTTTCGCCCTGTATCCTGGCCGTCAACCAGAATGGCCTCAACTTCCTCAGCAAGGAGACCCACGTAGGTGTGGGGCTGAGTGGGACACATGGAATCATGGAATGGCTTGAGCTGGAACAAACCTTAAAGCCCATCCAGTTCCACCCCCTTGCCATGGGCACAGACACCTTCCACCCAACCAGTTTGCTCCAGGCCCTGTCCAAACTGGGGTTCCCTGTCCCCTTGGAGGGGTTCCCAGGGCACACTGGCCACCCCCCTGTCCCCCTCCCAGGAACTCATCGCCAAGTTCTCTCTGAATGAGATCCAGTCCACGCGGACACAGCGGCCGACAGCTGGATCCAGCTATCCCTACGTGGAGATCACCCTGGGAGACCTCCTGGCCCAGGGCATCACCCAGCTCCAGCTGGAGCAGGTCAGGGACACCTGGGGACATCGGGGGGAGCCCTGTTGGGTCTCTCCGTGGTGGCACGGCCGCTGACCCCCGGTGTGTCCCTCTGCAGGGCCTGGAGCTGTGCCGCGTGGTGGCCGCGCACATGGAGAGGCTGCTGGGTGCCCGGGAGAAGAGGCTGACGCTGCCGCCCAGCGAGATCACCCTGCTCTGAGCCCACCATGGCCTCGGGCCGCCGGCACCCCGGACGGGGGGACAGAGGGCGCAGTGACCACGGGGTGTCCCCCGCTTGGCCAGCCGCCGCTGTCCCCCTGTCACCGCCCCACTGTTGTTCCATGGTTTTATACACGCCCGAGAGCCCGGCATGACTCGGTGTCCGTGGTTTTGTGTTGCGCTCGCGGCTGCAGGGGGGATGCTGCTCTCCGTGTCTGAGTCCCCGTCAGTCACCATCTGTTTCCTAGTCCCGTGCCTCAGTTTCCCCCATCCATCCCAGGGCCTCTCTCCTCATCCCGGTGCCTCAGTTCCCCCCACCGATCTCCGTGTCTGTTTCCCCATGCCGGTGCCTCAATTTCCCCCACCGATCTCCGTGTCTGTTTCCCCATGCTGGTGCCTCAATTTCCCCTCTATCCCGCCCCTGCCTCAGTTTCCCCGTGCGCCCCCTCTCAGTCAGTCCCGCCCACCTGTCGCGCTCGTCTCGTCCGCCAAGGGGCGCCGGCGCCGCGCACCCGCCTCCGCGCGCTTCCCTCCTCTGCCACCGCCTCCGCGCGTGCGCGCTCCAACCGCCCAATCAGCCTCCGCCCCCCGGCCAATCAGTGCCGCGCGGGGCGGGGCGGGGCGGGGCCGCCGCTCCCGGTTAACGGCGCCGGTGGGTGCGCGCGGGGGGCGGGGCCGGGCCGCGCGCTCTGTCCGTACGTGCGCGAGAGGGGCGGGGCCGGGGGCGGTGGCGGCGCGTGCGCGGCGGGGCGGGGCGCGGGGCGGCCCCGCGGGCGATCCGGGATGTCGGGCCGGCTCCTGGTGACGTAGCGGGAAGGGCCGCGCCAGACCCCCGCCCGCCGCTGTCCCCCGGCACGGCACGGGACCCCCCACACCTCCTCCGGTTGCCCCCCGCCATGGGCAGAGCCGCGGCGGTGGGAACGGGCAGGGCGTCCGGGGCCGCCGCTGGGAATGTGCCAGGCCCTGCCGCCGCGTGAGCACCGGCAGCGTTGTCCGCGCCCGCCCCGGGCCGAGCCGTGAGTGTGGCGTCCGCCGGGCCGCCCGTGCCCCGGGAGGGAGGGAGGGAGAGGGCGGGAGGTCCTGTCTCCGGTGGAGGGGGGGTGGGAGAGGGTCTGACGCGGTACCGGGATCCCGTCCTCACCTCCCCGTCCTGCGGGGCTCTCTCTCTCCCGGTAGGGCGGCGGGTGCCATGAGCAGCAGCTGCGCGTCCCCCGCCGCCGCCCGCCGCCGCCTGCAGCGCCGGGATCGATAGAGGCGGGGGCTGCGGACGCGCCATGGCCGGCAGCGGCTACACGGACCTGCGGGAGAAGCTCAAGTCCATGATGCCCTACCGGGACGGCCACAAAGGCGGCGGCGGCGGCCTCCCTAGGGAGCCCCCCGAACCTCCGTACGACCGCAAGCGGCGGCACCAGGAGGACTCCGGCTCCGAGCCCAGCGACTACGAGGAGCAGAAGGAGGAGGAGGAAGCTCGGAAAGTCAAAAGCGGCATCCGCCAGCTTCGCCTCTTCAGCGCCGAGGAGTGCGCCAAGATCGAGGCGCGCATCGAGGACGTGGTGTCCCGGGCGGAGAAGGGGCTCTACAAGGAGCACACGGTGGATCGGGCTCCGCTGCGGAACAAGTATTTTTTCGGGGAAGGCTACACCTACGGGTCGCAGCTGCAGCGGCGAGGCCCCGGCCAGGAGCGGCTGTACCCGCGGGGGGAGGTGGACGCCATCCCCGAGTGGGTGCACGACCTGGTGATCAGGAAGCTGGTGGAGCACCGGGTGATCCCCGAGGGCTTTGTGAACAGTGCCGTCATCAACGACTACCAGCCGGGGGGCTGCATTGTCTCCCACGTGGACCCCATCCATATCTTTGAGAGGCCCATCGTCTCCGTGTCCTTCTTCAGCGACTCGGCGCTCTGCTTCGGGTGTAAATTCCAGTTCAAACCCATCAGGGTGTCGGAGCCCGTTCTGTTCCTGCCCGTGAAGAGGGGGAGCGTCACGGTGCTCAGGTAACTCGCCCGCGTTGCCGAGGCTCTGCTCAGGAGCCGGGGCCCGGTTGTGTAACGCGGATCACGAGGCGCACCTCGGGCTCCGTCTGCCTCGCCTGGAGGAGCTCAGGGGTTCGCTCTGGTGGAAGGGGTGAAGCGGCCATTTGGGGGGGTCCTGCCGACCTGGTGGGTGAGGATTTGGGTGGGCGCCCTCTCCACGGGGCTTGAGGCAGATGCTGGTGGGAGCGTGGCCGCTCGCGGAGCTCTGCTAACCACTGAGCTCCCGTAAATGGTTAAAATAACACGTTGAGGCACAAAATGGATCCTTTGCCCAAGAGTGGTCAGAGCGGAGCAGCTGGTAGGGACGGGGCTCCTGGGTCTATTCTTAGCTCGTCCGGTGCTTCTCTGACCTGACCTTAGTGGTGGAGAGGAGGTGTGAATGGCCTCCTGTTCCCAGTGTGTAAACTGGGAATGCTGAGCCCTGCCCTGCCCGGTGACGAGAGGGAGCCCAGAGCCCCGCGTGATTGTCACTTGGAAGTGCAGCGGGTCACGGGCACAGGAAAGGACATCGTGTGTGTCGAGGAAGAGCCCTGGAAGGTGGAGTGACCTGCCCAAGGTCACGCAGTCGGTCGGCGGTAAAGCTGGGATTGGCACCGGGAAACGCCTGCTTCCTAATCCCGCTGCCTCCCGGTCCGGGCTGGGAGGGGGAGCGGACAGGTGAGGGGACAGGAAGGGCTGGAGCACAGGGATCCCGCTGGTGTCCAGCTCCTGGGGAGGGCAGCTCCAATCCTGGCACCGGGGCTGCCAGTCCCTCGTGTCCCTGAAGGTCAGAGTGCTCCCTGCCAGGAGCAGGGATCACCGGGACGCTGCCAGCAGTGCTACCAGCTGTATCCTCCTTCTGGGGGTTATTTTTTTGGACTGGTGAAGGTCCAGGCCGGTTTTCTGGGCTCCCAGGCCGTAACACAATCCCTTGCTTTGGCTTGTAAATTGATCGCCGCAGGGTTCGGGAAGGAATTTTTCCCCCCCACAAACACACGGCCTCCTTGACTGGTGCATCAATAATAAATGCTGAGATCTCGCGTAGCTTTTATCTCGGAAAAGCTGCACAAACATTAACTAATCCTCGCCGTACCCCGGTGTTAGGTAACTTGTGTGGATTAGCCAGGGATGAGGGAGGCTGCAGAGGGAGCCGGGAACGCCGCTGAGGACATTTTCTCATTCTCTGGTGGTTTGACAGGGCTCGGGGGGCAGAGGTCAGGGTGATTTTGTGAAATGGGACCCAAGGGGACCCATCCTGCCCTGTATCTTTTTACTGCAGAGCAAGCTCCGTCCCCAGGGATGGAGACTGCCGGGTGTGAGGCAGCTGCTCTGCTCCCTGACTTCTCCGAGATAGCAGGAGGGAAACTTTCTACCCTAATTTTCCTGCTGGTGATGCAAACCCTTCTGCTGTCTTTCCTTGTCAGGCCTGGATAAATAGTCGTTCTTCCTTTTACAGCCAGAGGCCTCTTTTAAAGACATTGAGAGTTTTTATCCTGCTTGGAAACATTCTGGCAGAGCGGATAATGCAGGGTCAGCCTCAAGTCTTGCAGTCAAAGCCTCTTGAAAAACTCTGGAGGAGGATCTGCAGTGGAGGATGGCGGGAGGAAGGAGAGATGCTTTCTCTGCTCCAGGACCAAAGAATGAGGTTTTCTTATTCCAGATCCTTGCTCTTCCTTCAAAACTGCTGGGAAGAGGCTGCTGGCTTAGGGCTCCTGGAACTGGAGTGAGGTGTCTCCCAGGGGTGTTTGGGTTGTTGGCCAGTGTCACTGAAGTACTGTAATCAGTTTGTTAATGTGGCTGAAGCAATCCTACAAACCAAATAAAGATATCTTAAATATATTTTCCCACCAAATTCTAGGGCTGCTTTCCAACTCACCCACTGCAGCTTGATCACGGTCAGATGTTCTGACTTCCAGCAAGTAATAGACTTTAAAACAGGGATTATTTCAATTTTGGTACAGCAGTTAGCAGGTACTTTACACTCATTTGAGGGAGATTCTGCCGAAGTGACTGTTCTGTGTTGATAGGATCCTGGCTGGAATCAATTCCTTGCCTCAAAGCAGATCTTGTCTCCCATCTTAACCCCAGCAATCAGGAGAGGTGCAGACCTTGCTCAGGGGTGTGTCACCAAATCCAGCCCTTGGTCATGACTAAGTCAGCTCCCCAAACTTGGCATTTTCTCCTGTGGATAAACAGCTGCTGGAGGCAGTTGCCCTGGAGATGGGGAACAGGCACAGATAGAGGTGGCATGCCTGTAATGTCTGGGATTCAAATCCTGCTGGGTCAGTGGCTGCTCCTGGCGTGCAGCCTTGCCGGGGAAGCCGTGTCTGTTCAGGGCATGTGTGGAAGTCATGAGGATCTAAAGGAAGCTGTCAGATCCCTGTCTTTGACCCCACAACACTCTCAGGCTGGCCCCAGATTGCCCCCGTCCTGTTCCTGCTCCTGATTTCATAGCTGCTGATCCTGGAGGGATTTTGCAGAGTGGCTTTCCCCATTCCTGTCCCTCGGCTTTGTTTGCCTGCCCTGAAGCAGGATGTGGTGTTTGCCAACACTGAACGTGCTCCAGACTCCTTAGAAAGTGTTCAGCCCTCAAATGACAGGTGAGGTGGAACAAGATTCACGTGGCTGGGCTGTGCCCCTCTGCCAGAAGGTAAAGGCTGAGGCACCCCATGTCCTTCTAATGAGCCCTTCCCTCTTCCAGCAAGGCCCTTTCTCCTCTCCTTTCACATCTGCAGGGAAGATTTGCTCTTGTAGGTTTTGAGATCTAGAAGATGACCTCCTCCAGTCCCCTCTTCTCCCACAGCCCTGGGAAGCAGGTGCTCCTGCAGGTTTGTCTCAGTGGCAGCCAGGCCAGGAGGAAGCATCAGCTCGGTGTGTGCTGCTGGATCCCAGTCCTGTGACCCATCAGCTCCTTAGGGAGGGGTTAAAATATTTTTCTTATTTTAACAGTAATTTGGTGAGCTTCAATCAATAGAAGCAGTGGTGGGGAGATGGAGGAATTTGCCTTTTCACTGGGGGAACGTGTGCTTTGAGAATGCTTGGGCTGGGAAAAAGGGAGGGAGCAGGGGGTGTGTGGAGCCAGCTGGGGTGGGGGGTTCCAGGTGGATCCCTGCCCTGCAGGTGCTGTCACAGGAAGCAAATCTCAGCACTGAAACTGCCAGGTATGTTGTCTGAGTGTTGGAAAGAGTGCAGCTGCAGTGGGAGGAAGGAAAGGCACAGGTAACACTTCCCAAGTTTCGGGAGCTCGTGCCATACGGGCTTCCCTCCCGCAGCTGGAGAGTGCTCCAGGTCATCTCCTGGCTGTTTGTGATGGCAGGGGAACGCTGTGATGTGTGTCCCTCCTGTTGTCTTGAGGCGTGCCTGATGGAGGCATAATCAGAGCAGGTTGGAGTCGCTGGAGGATGAACCTCCTTCCTTCCCAGCTGGAGGAATCTCTCTGCAGCTGTCTGCTCCAAAATAGCCTGATCTCTCAGAACAGGCTGTTGGTGCAGAGGAAGTTCCATGTGTGCCAGTGGTGATGAGGCAGAGATTTGTTCAAGCTTTTCTTGTTAGAGTCTCTAGAACTTGAAGGCTTCCTTTTCTGGTGACGTTTCCACAAAAATATCCACTTTTATCTCTCTGTGAATCAATTCTGGCTCAGCAGCAGCTCTTCTGGATGGAAAAAGAGACTCAGGGAAGAGTTGGGGCTGTAAGGTTTGACAGGTTAGGTTGGGCTTGGGGCTTGGTTTTTGGTGTAGTGTATGGAAAACGTCGGCACTTCCCCATGTTCTTCTGGAAAACACTCTGGGATGGAGATGCCACACTCAGGTGTTCTCATGGCCAGGAATTCATGATTTTCCTTTCCAAGTTACTTTGGGTTTGTTCTCTGGGTAAGCAATCTATGTGTAGATCCTTGGTCTCATTATGGGTGTTTTTCTTGGGGGTCTGCCCCTTCACCCACCCTCAGGGCATGTGTAAGGCTGGGTAGTGGGTGAGAAGTTCATGCTGGCACAAGGCAGCACAAGTATGACACAACCAAATAATCCTTTTCTTCCATTTCTGTGCCTGTGCAGAGGCACGCTATCACTGTATATGATACAGTGCAAACAGAGTTTACCCACACCAGTTTGGCACTGGGGCAGACTGGTGTGTCCCCCTTCAGGGCCTCAGACCAGGGTGGTGGGGCTGCTGTGTGATGCTGTGTGCATCTGGGAGCACAAACTTGCTGGTGCCACTCTGGAAGTGATCTGGAAAGGGTGTTCTTGCCTGGGGAAGGAGTGCAAAGAGTGTCCAGGCTGATAGCATGATGGAGATTTTGGGTCTGGGAGCAGACCTTTCCCTGGTGTTGAGGGTGCTGCTGAGGATGCTGAGTTGAATGTTAACGTGGGTGATATTCATGAATTCACTGGAGCTTGACGCAGAGATTCCAGGAACATAATAGAGCATCATCACAGGCCCCTTGGCATAACGCTGCCGTGTTCTGCAACACCTGGAGCACGGTGGGGATGGACACCACCCCTGCTTTAACTGGTCAGGTCTTAGACTTTCAGCTCTCCTCACAGAGCAGTAAATCTGTGTGTGAGGAGGTGTTTCTGGGTGAGTGGGTGGGTTATCTAACCACATCAAGGAAACCCGGTCCTGTCCCCAGGGAAGAATTGCGTGTGAGCTCTGTTCTCTGCTCAGGGTGTCCTGAATAACCTGCCAGCCCCTGACCCTGGCGTGCCAGCAGTGACACGGAAAAGCCTTGTGGGGACACCGGGCCTGGTGATTTCTGCTTCAGGCTGGGTGTGCAGGCTTGAGCAGCCTTCACCCAAGTGCCTTCCAAGGTGTTCCTGCCCTCGTTGGGTGTTTCAGGAAGCTCTGAAGTTGTTTAGCTTCTCTTTTCCCCATCCTGGACTGCAGAAGGCTGTCAGTGAGCTGACACTCTCCAAACGGCAGGTAGAGGGCAGGCCCCACCGCTGGGATCTGCTGGCTCTCACCCTTGGAGTGATGGGGATGTGCTCCCAGCAAGGTTTGTGTGTCAGAGCAGGTGTGGTGGCCGCTCTCCACAGACCCACCGTGATTTCACCTGCTGTGCTGGCTGCAGGAGTCCAGCTGAAAACAGAAGCAGCCATGAGGAAATGCTCCAGTGTGTTGTGGAGAAGCCTTGGCTGTCCTTGGCCGTGGATTTTCTCCAGCCTGCTGAAAATATGGAGTATCTGGAGTCATGTCACATGGTGAAACACTCCTGCTGACATCAGCTACTGCTTGAGCCTGGGCTTTTCCTCAGCCCAGGGAGTTGTTTCACCCTGTTACAGGGAGGTTTTAGAGGAGTGCAGCTTGGTTTGCAGGTCTCAGTTTGTAGGTTACCCCATCAGTACTGGCTATGGGCTGGTGATGATCTTGTGGTGGCTGAGGATATGCCATGTGATGGGGAGGGTGATGAGGTGCCTGTGCTCAGGGAAAGGGGGTGAGAGGCTCAGCTCTTACCACAGCTGCACCCCTTTGTGGCTAAGAAACCTCCTTGATCTGTTAAATGTTTAGGCCTGGGTGTGCTGCACATCTGAGCTGTGAGAGATGGTTTTCCTCACAGGCATGTTTGAAATGATGCTTTGGAGGAATGTGCTCATTTTCTTTCCCCTGTTGCTTTATATTTTCTTCATAAATTAATGGTCTGAATCTACAGTTCTACATTTCTACATGTTTTATTTTACAGTGCTGGAGCAGGTGGCAGTTTCCTCTGGGGTATGCTGAAAAATTGAGTCATAAACCCCCCAAAACCCCCTGACTGTCCTCATTCTTTCCCGATGTTTGTTCCTTCCTGTAAGTCTAGCTCCTGTGTGCCTGGGGGGTGGTGTCTGGAGGAGGAATTCCTGGTGGAAGTTAGGAAGTACAGGCAAAACTGAATTGTTGAGGCTGGAAACCACTTTCTCCTTCTGCCTGGCATCTCCCTGACGGTGGCTTTTTGTTTCTGTTGTCAGTGGGTATGCGGCCGACGAAATCACACACTGCATTCGACCACAGGACATCAAGGAGAGGAGAGCTGTCATCATCCTCCGAAAGTAAGTGTTGAAGCCCTCCAGACGGCAAGATAAACATGGATGTGGTGTCATGATGCTTAAACACTTGAAAACTGCCTTGGTTGTTAATTTGCTGGCTTGATCTTACACCTTGATTAGGTGTCGCTCTGACGCTCGCTCGTGTCGTGCTGTACCTGGCGGTGGAAGTGGCTGGAACCTGTTCCTGCAGGGTTAATCCCTTCTTGGCTTTGTGCAGCAGCACTTCATTGTAATATCTGGGGTTTCAAGCCATGCTGGGGCCCAAACTGGCTTTCCTTGGCTGCCCAGCTCCAAACACCTGGGATATCAAACTCTGGTTTTGGGCTGTGTGTTCAGGTGTCTGGTCATGGGAGAGTTACCTGGACAGTCTTCTGAAGCTGATGCTTGAGATGAAGAATGTCCTATGAAGGAGAGAAAGTTTTCTTGGTATATGGGTTTTGTTTCCTGGGGAGAGAGGAAGACAGGCTTTGGAGGGAAACACGTAGAAAGTTCAGAGCTCATTACAAAGCTTGTCCTTTGAGTCTCTGTTGGGGAGCCAGGCTCCATAAGCTGATTTAGAAAGGGGCTTCCTGTTCTAGAAGAGCACTCTTGATGGCATTTCATCAATCAATGTTTGTTCCTGAAGCTCTTAAGAAAATGGAGAAAAAGTAAACTAACCCCTCCCCAAAGTCCCTCAGTAAAACCTTATTTTCTGCCTAGAAATGCCCTCTCTCCTCATTTCCTTCTACTAGGAGACCAAAAACTGTGACTGCCACACATTGACCCCTGCAGACTGTGCCTTGGAAGGTGTTAGCAGTAATTCTACTGTCAAGAAGCGTCTTTGTAAATGAAAATACACAACTTTGAGTCCTGTAAACCCAGCCAAAAACGTGGGCATTGGTGGCAGGGCTATGGTTGTGGCCCAGGCTGACATAAGGCTCGCAGGCAAGCGGTCTGGATTCACACTGGATGAGCTTTTGGGTGGCTTAGTTGGTTTCAAAACAAGTCTGGCAACATTATGAGGACATGGCACAAAGCCAGCGGAGTGGAGTTGGACATCTGGTTAGAGAAACCCATGGAATGAAGGCAGGAAAAACAGCAGCCCTGAGGCATTAGGCAGGCAGAATCAGCCCAGACCCAGGGAGGCAGGATGAGATGTGGCAGGAGATAGAGTGGGATGAAAGGCAGGCTGTAGCCAAACCACCCCACAGCTGGGTATGGCCACGTGAGGTTTGGAGAGAGAGGCTGTGATAAGAACTTATATCTGTCATGTTCATGGTGTTGAAACAGCCAGGGAAAAGCAGCACAAGTGCTGACAAGGAGGCATCTCCAAGTGTTGTAGCTGCTTTGGTTGAAGTTTGGGAAAGAGAAGCTGCCTGTCCTAGGTTGTGAAGCAGTTCCCTGGAACAGACAGGCTCAGATAAATGAGCTAAAGGTGCCCAAACTGGTGCAGATATCGAACACATCTGTTTAAACTGGCTCTGCCTCTTGCTTTCTCCAGCCTTGCTAAGCTGAGGGTATTGGATTGTTTCAGTCAAGCCTGGCTGCCCTCAAAGTGCATCTGGGCAAGAAGGGACCTTAAACCTCACCTTGTTCCAACCCTTGCCATGGGCAAGGACACCTTCCACTAGACCAGGTTGCTCGGGGCCATGTCCAACCTGTGCTTCTCTGGGCAACCTGTGCCAGTGCCTCACTGCTCTCTGAGTAAAGGATTTCTTTCTAATATCTAATCTAAATCTTCCCTCTTTTAGTCTAAAACTCTTCCCTCTTGTCTTATGACTATCTCCCCACATAAAAAGTTGTTGTCTGTGTTTTTTATAAGCCCCCTTTAAGTCCTGGGAGGAGCAGTGAGGTGTCCCTGGTTGTACCAGCTGACCTGGTGCATTCCTGCTGAAGGGACAGAGCCTGTAG